TCTTTTCTACTCTCTAATGGGTCATCTTGTGCCCCACCCCTCACACTCCCACTTTGGAGACCGTGGAGAAGAAACTCACCCAGCTCCACTTTGCACAGTGGTAGACACAGGAGAGTTGGCTCTGATGACAGTCCCCACCTGACATGTATTTCATGCTCTTTTAAATCCAAATGGGCACTTTCACACCTGCTGCAGAGCTGAGTGATAAAACATCTGTGTTCTCAGTCTTTCCTTTTTCTCTTGATTGATGATGGGGGTTTAACGCGGGATTTCTCTCTTGGCTTTACCCGCATGATGTACCTGGTGATGGCGTTCCCTCTGCCGTCCCTCCAGCCCTGTGCGAAGACAGGCACTTCCTCGGGGCACCTGGAATTTGGTGGTGACCAGCCACAGACCCCGTGTCTCTCTCCTGTTGCATTAATTAGGAATGTTTTTGTTGTTGCAAGCGAAGCAAACCCAACTGAATCTGGCTGAAGTAGAAAGTGTGACGTGAAGATGCCTTTCCAAGTCATGCAGCCAGAGATGGCAGTAAGGATCTGAATTTCCGCAACCTGACCACCAAAACCTCTTCTTCGCCATCAAGTTATAGGACCGCTGTTCAACCCTTCTGCACAGTCCTGGAGGATAGGGTCCAGGTGTCTCTTTTTAGACCTCTGCCATCTCTCCCACAGCCTTGTGCATGGTGGGCGTGCAATGAATACTCAGGTTCAAGCAGGTGACAAAGTCCCACCTGGCTCAAACACTCCACGAACATTCCCACCCACCTCCCACCTGCCAGATGGCACCCCTTCCTCCCTTACCTCCCTTCTCCCGGTTGCCACTCAATAGGGATTGTTCTCCATGTCTGCACACCTGTGCCCATGAACACCTTCAAATCCAGGTAAAGTTGAAAGTTTGCCCTGTTGGTCAGTCTTTGTTTTTCACCTCTGTTCCTGGCTCTTGGGACTTTGGGCATGAAGGCACCTCATGAAGCACCTTAGCCTGGGTCCTCTCCTCCGACCTCCTAATTCTTTAGTGAGAAGACTTTCACATCTCTGGAGAGAACGTCACACCTTTGGGAAGTTTTTGGCATAGTTGGTTTTGCCATTTGGAAGATTTAAATGTTGTTTAAGTTGTGTTATTTCTGAATCTCTGGCTCTGACTCTCACCAAAAGATGACCTATTTGTATCCCAAGACAAAAGCTTCTAAATAAGTATTTCTCTCTGTAGTTCTTCTTTGGGCCTAGGAGCTAGAAGGTGATGTCTTGCCTCCCCCTAGTCCTTAATCTATTTTAATAGTGAAAGATATTTTGTTTGAATAACTATTCCTTGCTTAAGCAGAGTAATGGCCTTCCTCTTGGGTAGGAGGTTATATTTTGCAGGCAAGCATGATGGGCATGTAATACTAATATAAACCACTAGGTGGTGCTACAGCTCTGAGAAATCGTCTTGGAAAGTGGCAAGCAGGAGGGTGGAGTAAGTCCTGTGATTTCAGCGCCTCCCTGGCCCAAGACAGACAGTCGCCCATCCTAGACTTGGCTCTGCCACTTACCAGCTATGCGACTGTTGGCAAATGACCTTAGGTTTTGGTATCGTTACTTGTAAAATGGCGACGACAACAAAGTCGACCTCAGAGGGATGGCTTGAGTATCGCATGCGATGACGCTGGAGTATTATCTAACTTGCAAACTGTGGCATGAAGTGCAAATGGATCAATCGGTGCCAGGAAGCCCCGCCGTCAGAACTGTTCCTTGGGCATGATTGCAAAAGCAAGAGACGTTCTGTGACCTCCTTGTCTCATACAGTGAGGGCGGGGTGAGTCGGGGAAGGGAGGGGATAGAGAGTTACCTGTAAAACACCTTTTGGAGCCTCCACTTCATCCTCTGTGCAGCAGGGGAGGTCTGCCTTGCAGATCCGTGAGGATACACATGCCAAGCATTTTGCATAGCATCTGGGACCAAGCGGCCCCCAGCCAAGGCAAGGTTGTGAGTGGGCTGCTGGATGCTTTTTGTGGTTCCGTCCTCGGAGCCCCCTTTCTCTCTGTAGCCTCTCCTCCCACCTCCTGCTCTAACCGTCATGGCCCACAGGGATTGCTGTCCTGCTCTGTCTCCAGCACAGCCCTGTCTTGAGTTTCGATTCCTTCACTCAACTACCCCACAAGCATCTCCCACTCCATAAGCTCCAAACAGGACTCGTCACCTTCTCATTCCGAACTTTCTTTTCTTCCTCTCCTCCTGGTGCCTTAAAGACACGATCTTCCACCCGGTAGTCCAAGCTGGAAAACTGAACATGCTTCTGGACACTCCTGCCCTCTGCCCGCTTTTACCCACCATGCCAAGTTCTGCTGATTCTGCCTTTTAGATGTCCTTACAGTGTCTCCCCATCCCCACTGCCCTTGTTCGTCCCTCGACCACTGCCTCAGCCTCATCTTTGCTCCCTGTTCCCTGCTTTGCATTCACAGAGTGGCCTTTCTTCTTTTCTTCCCTGAATGCAAATCTGAGTCCCCTGCTCTAAATCCTTCCATGGCTCCCTACTGCCAGTAAGTTGGTCTAAACCTCATAAGATGGCCCAGAAGGCATCTAAACATCTATCTTCTTCCCCAGCCTCCTTCCTCCTCTTCCCTACCCTCCCCTCCCCACCTGATCTCATGGTCCACAGACTCATGTTGAGTTTCTCAAATAACACTAAGTTCCTGTGTGCTCCAGGCCTTTGCTCATGCTGTTCCGTCTGGAACACTCTCCCCTCCCTCCTTATCCACTTACCCTTCTCTCCTTGGCTCCTACTCAGCTTCCAGATCGCCCCCCCCCTCCAGAAAGCCTTCACTGACATCTCAAGCATGAGTCGGTGCCCCACCCCCCACCACTCTCAGCCCTACATCCCCTGGGATGTTCTGCTACTTGCTTTAATTTGTCACCATTGTGCTGACTCTCTAGTGCAATTAAATGTCAGCTGTGATGGCCACCTGACATTTGAGATATATATGAGATGTATATCAATTTGGCGGAGTCCCCATCCTGTGTCTAGTGGGAAGCCCAATGTGTGTGCAAGATTTCTCTACGTCTCGAGAGCTCGCCTAACAGTCCGTCTCTGACTTTCGGCTGCTACTAAACTATTATGTCCACGTCTGAGACCCTGAAGCCCTTTCTTTGCCCCCAAGCTGACCCAGATGTAGAACACAGCCTCTTCTTGTTCCCTCAAAACATCATGCACAGAAGACTCTTGGGTGTGTGGCAGAAATGGCTCCAAGTTCAAGGTGCTGAAGTGGAGAGGTTGGCTTGCCTCTTGGTTAAAGACCCTTTAGCGAGCCCTACCTTGGCGACATCTCCCTGGTTGGTTTTCTCCCAGGGTCCCTTCTCTTCCTCTTTTTTTATTTCTGTACCCCCTCCTGTTCTCTCTGCTCTCCTGTACCCCAATTTCTGTTTAACACAGAAGTTTAGGGTCTCTTAATTTTTCAGACTCCTTACAGACTGCATCTCACCTTTACACCCCGGTGACTATCAAGGCACCATGATACCCAGAGGGGATTCATGTCACGTCATGCAATCCCTCTGCCCTCCCGTCGCTTTTGTTGACTTGTGTGTTTCCGTGTGAGCCCGTGACCAGCTTTGGTCCTTGCTGCACCCATGGAACCTGGAACTTGGTTGATGCATATTGGGCTCTCGACATTCATTGAATGAATGAGTAAAGGTCTGAATAAGTGAATGGGTGAGTGAGATGTTGCTTAGGCTGAAAAATAACTCCAGTCCAATTCTCCTCCCTCCCTTCTGGATTATCATGGACAGACCTTGAGGCCCAGCCTGCGTGGGTGTTCTCATAATCGGGACATAACAGTAAAGCCAGTCCAGTAGTTTGTTCATTCAACTTGACCACCACTGAGGGGGTAAAGGGACTATAGGTTTTATAACTTGGTGAGGATGAGGGTAAGCAGTAAGCATAAGACCAAGATGAGAAAGGAGAGTGAAAGGCAATGAGCCAACTCCCATTCTGAGATGATGGGAAGTTAGGCTTCCTGGTGCAGTCAAGGCCGCCACGAAATCTGTGAGGACTCTTAAGACGAGTGTTTCCTGCCCTGGCCAGTTTGGCTCGGCAGTTAGAGCATCGGCCTGCGGTCCAGAGAGTCCCGGGTTCGGTTCCCGCTAAGGGCATGTACCTCGGTTGCAGTGTGTCCCCGGCCCTGGTTGGTCGTGTGGGTGGCAGCCACTTGATGTGTCCCTTTCACGTCGATATTTCTCTCTCTCTCTCTCTCTCTTCCTCTCTCTCCCTCCCACTCTATCTGAACAAAAAATGGAAAAATGTCCTTGGGTGAGGATAAAAAAAGACGAGAATTTCTTGTACACCATTTGCCTTGTTGGTACTGCTCCATCTGTTATCCATCCATCCACCCACCCATCCACCCCCCCACCCATCTGCCCACCTACCACCCCCCCACCCATTCGCCTACCGACTACCCATCCACCCACCAGTCTGCCCACCCACCACCCACTCGCCCGCCCACCCATCCATGGCTGTACATATAATGTTAACAAATGGTGTGAAATGGGGATAACATCGGTGCCCATCAACAAGTTATTGTGAGATTTAAAATGAATCATGAGGCAGTAACATCACCCAACACGGGGCTCCATGGCAGAACAGAAGCTCAGTAAGTGGGGACTTGTCCTGGTTGATATCTGAACACCACAGCCACATTCCACAGCTCCAACTCTTCCCCAGCCAGACATCGAACACTCAGCCCCATTTTATTACCCAGAACTTGAGGAAGAGAAACACAGTGCAGGAATCTGGAGTGGGAGTGGGCAGAGCCAGGTGGACCAATGAGGAACAAGAGGCTTGGAAGGTTGAGAGCGGGGTGGGAGGGTGAGGGAGTTTCTGCTTGGGAGTGTCTCCCTTTAGAATGCTGCCGGAAGTCCGTCTCGGGGTGACCCCACCATCTCCTAGTGAAGGTCCACGTGAGAGTAGACGGGGAACAGGCTATAGGCTAGCCCTCCTCCGCTGGGACAGCTGGTCGACCCAAGCCCAGGCTAAGTCCGGCCACTCTGGGGCTGCATGGCGCTGATCCGGTTCTGCAGCCAGTCAACATAATCCTCTTGAGGCATGTGGATGATGTGTTCTCGCACAAACTGCAGGGCGAATACAGTAGCAGCTTCAGATCTGGTCTGAAAGCCAGACTCCTTGACCCCCTCCCTCCCACAAGATCCTGGAATATTTGTGATTATGGCTGGTGGTCCCACGATGCCTCCAACCATCCAGGCGTTCGTAGTGTGAAAATCACCTAACAACATACAGGTCACCTGGGGTCGCACTTAAACGCAGATTCTGAGGGTAGGTACAGTTTGGAGTCAGAGTGTCTAACAAGCACCCGGGGAGGTCCAGGCTGTTGGCCCGTGGGCCACAATTTTAGTGGCCAGGTGTAGAGGGCTCTGTGCTCTCATTACCAGTTATTTTATCCACTTGCCCAGTTATTTCTGTCTCTCCAAGGCCTCCAAGTTCCCAGGGGGCACCACTGACAGAGAATGTAATGTCCCCTGGAGTTGAACAACCAAGGTCATGTGGCTATCCCTTAGAGGATAAGCTCCCGGGAGGCGGAGCTCTTGGTCTTTTAGGTTGTGTTCCAGCACTTACACGGGGCCCTGGGGGCATCGTGAGGGGCGGGGATAGGGCAGGTACCTCCACAGCCACAGCGATGTCTGGGGAGCACAGTTCCCAGATTCTCAGGTCCTGAAGCACCTTCAGGAGGACGTGGGGCCTGATCCTCAGGTCCAGGTTTTCCCCGAACTTCTGCAGCTTTGCCAGGACCTTCTTGGCAGGGCGGAAATTCTTTAGATCTTCAGGGAGTTTGGACAGAAGATCAAAGTACCTTCGATTTCAAGGAGAGAGGGCCGGTTAGGGAGCTGCTGGGCACCTGGGTCCTCCGTCTCCTCTCTTCCTACTTCTCATGCGCTGTCTCCAGGGCAGCCTGGATCTCTCTCTGGGGGACCTCCTTCCACCCCAAGTGTAAGGGACCCAGCGGTCAGGCAAGTCTTTCATTTTTAAAGATAGAAAAAGCTGAAGCATGGTTTGTAGCTCATTAGAAAACAAATTAGAGACATGCTTCGAAGGGACGCAGTTATGATTTTTCTAGCAGGCAGGCAATGTGAAGGGCTTACCAGGAAGGAAGGGACATTGAGATTTTTGAAGCCTCACATTTGAGATTTAATCAGACCAGGGGGGACATGGACACATCTGTGGTTACTCTCCGGAACGCAGGAGGCTCTCACACACCAGATGGAGGAGGAGGAAGGGGAAGAGGAAGAGGAGAGGAGAAGGAAGAAGATGAAGGGGAAGAGGAGGAGGGGAGGAGGAAGAGGTGAGGGAAGAGGAGGAGGAGAAGGTGGAGGAGGGGGGGATAAAGATGGGGAGGAAGTGTGTGCATTGCCCATGTCTGTGTTTCCGTGGGTTTGGAGAGCTTCCAGAATGCTGGGAGGGCAGCCTGGCCATCCATGGTGAGAACCAGGCAGACGGTTCAGGTGTGATCAGCGGTGAAGGGGTCTCTTTTAAAAAAGAGGGGTGGTGGCATTTCTTGGAAGAAAAAAAAAAGTCCTCCCCTTCTATATATGTACCCATTGAGGGAATGTTTGAAGAAGAAATTGATCATCCACCCTACATTTTGGGGCTCCTCATACTGTTTTATATTTCACAATATATATTTATATATATTTATGTCTCGTCGTGAGCTCCTGTTCCACATTATTAAATCATGGATGGAATTCTGGGTACATTTTTCGACTTTCTCGTCTTACTCTTAGAGCTTGATTTACTCCCCCTGCCAGGATTAGGTTCATAAAATCAGAGTTCATCCGACTTGACTTCTGTGTTGCAGATGAGCACAGAGGCTGAGGTCAGACAAGGGTTTAAATCCTAACATTTCCTTGTTTGTCAAGTGCGACTTGATAGGCACCCTTCAGGGTGTGTGTGGGGAATAAAATACATGATGTATGGACGTTGCTTAGGGTGGTGTCTGCCACCCAAAAGTCACTCAATGCTGCCCTGGCCAGTTTGGCTCGGCAGTTAGAGGTCAGCCTGTGAACCAAAGAGTCGTGGGTTCGAATCCGGTCAAGGGCATGTACCTTGGTTGAGGTTTGGTCCCCAGCCCTGGTCGGGGTCATGCGGGAGGCAGCCAGTCGATGTGTCTCTCTCACATAGATGTTTCTCTCTTTCCCACTCTATCTGAACACAGATGGAACAAATATCCTTGGGTGAGGATTGGGAAAAAAAAATCACTCAATTCCTGTTGCTTCTTGTTGTACTTATTATCACCCCTGGGCACAGTGTCCCTAGGGCATGCCCACCTGCTTTTGTATCTTTAACGGGTTAAAATATTTGGGGAGTACAGTGATTAGTCCCATAGACCTCTGACTCTAGAAGTTTTCAGGTTGGTTTGCCTCATCTGTCACTCTCGGGGCTGGTGAGTTAGTCCTTATTTGCAAATCTGAATCAAACGAGATAAATATGGAGAACAGAGCTGGTTGGTTAGTCTGCTTCAGGGACAGAAGGGTTCTTGCTTGACTGTGCTCTGGGTATGGCCCGCTGGGGGGCCCGTTGCTGGCCAAGGACAGTTTTGGAGTGACGCCTCTCTGTCTCGCGGGCTCGTGGGATCACAGGTGGTTCTGTGACCACAGCCCTCCCTTTGCCCCCCCCCCCCCCCCCAGGACTGTCTCATCAGGGTATTTACCAGTGGTCTGCAATTTCTTCTGCGTCTCCTTTTACCATGGAGATTTTATGTCGCATTTTTGCTATGTCCTTTTGAAAATTCGAGACGAGGACAAAAGAATGGAACTTCTGGAGACCTCTCTCTTCTTGGCGTCTGCGTCACAGGTTGGGTGAGAAGGAGGAAGGAGAATCAGATCCCTGTCTCCTTCCGCCACCCTCGCGGCCCTTCGAGGTCTGGCTAAACACCTTTTCCTTCATGAGGTTCTTAGCCCTCCCAGCCATGGTTTGATTTACTCTCTGGCTTTGGCTACAACAGCTCTCTCCAAGGTCCTGAAACATTCGTTTCGTGCTAAATCCAGTAACTTTAAAAAAAACAACAACCCAAAACCTGCCTTCCTTTTCTCTCTACTTTTGATTGTATTCACACAGCTTTCTCATCTGTAAAATGAAGGATGACAATGGTGCCTAGTTCTCAGAGGTGAGGATTAAAAAATACAATGTGTTTAAAGTGCTGAACTAAGTGCCTGCCTGTTACACAGTGGGTGTTTCACCCAGGTTGGTTCCTCTCTTCTCCACTCCCCTCATCATTTTGTGTGTATGTCCTACCTCTTCAAGGAGACATTATAATATAAATATACCCATGCCATTCACCTATATGTGCATTTTGATGGCTTCCTATTTTATTCAGAATAAAGCCCCCTGAGTAACTTGCCCTCTAAGGCTCTGGGTTTAGCTTTATCCCTATCCTTCCCATCTCTTCTCTCCCAGAATTTTATGCTTTGGCTCACAAACAAAGCCTCCAAGATAAAGTTCAACCTCCACAGCTGGGCTAGTAAGACCTTCCATGATCTGACCCCGTCTATCTCTGATGACCTTGTAAGCAACCTAAGCCCCAGCTCCACCTGGCTACTGGCAGTTTCTGGCCAACTGTGCCCCTTCTGGCCTCTGGGACTTTGCTGTTCTTTTCCCTGGAGCTCCCTGCCCTCCTCCTTTCCCTGTGTGACTCTCTGGGTTTGAATCCCACCTTTACTGCTTAATGACTGGGTGACCTTTGACAAGAGACATTTCTGAGCCCACTTTTCTCGTCTTTAAAATGAGTCTAATAATAGTACCTACTCCATAGGATTGTTGTGAGGACTTAGTGATAAATAAGCACAGGGCTCCGACACCCTTGACTATTACACAGTAAGTGCCCTGGAAATATCACCTATTTTTATGAAGCTCCAATTGTTGATTCTTCCAGGAAGACCTTTCTGATTGCTGTTGCGGGGTAGGCAGGACATCCTCTCGCTTCGCCCCCTGCCCACTTTGCTGTTGGCCCTCATCACCCTGTATGCTAATTGCCTGTTTACTTTTCTGTCTCCCTAGCTAGACTGGGGGCTCCCAGAAGGTGGGGATGGGTCACCTCTGAACCCGTGGTTTGGAGCTGAGAGGGCAAAGGGTCACCGTGCAACCTATGTCGAGTGGATGAGTTCGCTTGGGTGAGCGGTCACTGCAGTTAAGGGGTAGGCTGGGAAGGGAGGCAGTTATTGGGTTGTCAGAATAGAAGTTTCCAGTGGCCTCCTGGTAATCTTAAAATTCAGTTCCAGGTTTTAATGAGGACACTGTGGCAGTGTGTTGTGCAGCTGTCCAGTCAGCCTTAGGACTCTGTAGGCACTCTGGAATGTCCAGCTGCCCTCTCACCCCCTCCCCCGACATCCTTCAGGGCTCAGCCTTAAAATCACCTCCTTAGGGAAGTCTTCCAGGATTACCTGACCTAAATTAGGTCCCATAGTTTCTCCTTCTCTCCTAACTCTGTCTTTTCCCTGTATAGCAGTGGTTATACTTTGTACCTTTGTTCTTATTAATTCAGTTATTTTATTTCTGCCTACATTTTCCAGGAGAGACAATGAGCCCTCTGAGGGCAGGGAACACCTCCTTCCCTTGCTGTAGCCTCGGCACCAGCGCCTGGCATTGGGGGGGCACGGAGGGGCACACAGTAGGTGCCAGATGAATGTCCTTGGAGTGAATGCATTGGCATGTGACCTTACTTCATGAGGATTTCCATCTTGTCCTGTAGACAGAAGCCAGCCTCCTGGGCCACGCTGTAGAACTTGGCCCTCAGGCTGGTACACATATGACTCAGGTTGTGGGTGAGGTCACGGTTGGTGCGGCTGCGGACACAGACAAGAAGGGAGTCGGGGGTGGGACCCAAGAGGCAGACCCCTGAGGCTGGCCTCTCTGGGCCCCAAGGTGCTTTGCAGTGGGGATTTCCACCCTCCCCTGGAGCCTCCCCCAGCATTCCCCTGGAAGGACAGATCCTCCCAACAACATCAGGCTGGTGGTGTCGGCCTTATTCAACGAGCCCACAGAGAGACATCTGGCCATTGGAGCCCGGCAGATGTCAAGGACCATGAGACGAAGATGGAATTTGGAGCTGGGAGATTCAGGTTCAAACTCCAGCGTCACACTTCCTGGCTGCGTGGGTCGGGCAGGACATTTCATTAGCCGAGTGTCAGCCTGCCTCTCTGCAGAAGGGGGTAGTGTTGCCGCCTCATCGGATGGCTTTGAAGAATAAGCAAGATAGTGAATACGGAATGCTTTGCCCAGGGCCCGGCACAGAGGACGAATTTGTTGCCATTGTCTGGGCTGTTGCTTGGCATTGGGACCATGAGTTCCTGGTCCTCCAGCTGCAGGGGATCTGGTCTGCACTGGGCTCTTTCCCTGGGAAGTCCCTGGTCCTCCAGCTGCAGGGGGCTGGTCTGCACTGGGCTATTTCCCTGGGAAGTCCCTGGTCCTCCAGCTGCAGGGGGCTGGTCTGCACTGGGCTCTTTCCCTGGGAAGTCCCTGGTCCTCCAGCTGCAGGGGGGCTGGTCTGCACTGGGCTCTTTCCCTGGGAAGTCCCTGGTCCTCCAGCTGCAGGGGGCTGGTCTGCACTGGGCTCTTTCCCTGGGAAGTCCCTGGTCCTCCAGCTGCAGGGGGCTGGTCTGCACTGGGCTCTTTCCCTGGGAAGTCCCTGGTCCTCCAGCTGCAGGGGGCTGGTCTGCACTGGGCTCTTTCCCTGGGAAGTCCCTGGTCCTCCAGCTGCAGGGGGCTGGTCTGCACTGGGCTCTTTCCCTGGGAAGTCCCTGGTCCTCCAGCTGCAGGGGGCTGGTCTGCACTGGGCTCTTTCCCTGGGAAGTCCCTGGTCCTCCAGCTGCAGGGGGCTGGTCTGCACTGGGCTATTTCCCTGGGAAGTCCCTGGTCCTCCAGCTGCAGGGGGCTGGTCTGCACTGGGCTCTTTCCCTGGGAAGTCCCTGGTCCTCCAGCTGCAGGGGGGCTGGTCTGCACTGGGCTCTTTCCCTGGAAGTCCCTGGTCCTCCAGCTGCAGGGGGCTGGTCTGCACTGGGCTATTTCCCTGGGAAGTCCCTGGTCCTCCAGCTGCAGGGGGCTGGTCTGCACTGGGCTCTTTCCCTGGGAAGTCCCTGGTCTTCCAGCTGCAGGGGGCTGGTCTGCACTGGGTTGTTTCCCTGGGAAGTCCCTGGTCCTCCAGTTGCAGGGGGGCTGGTCTGCACTGGGCTCTTTCCCTGGGAAGTCCCTGGTCCTCCAGCTGCAGGGGGCTGGTCTGCACTGGGCTATTTCCCTGGGATTCCCTGGTCCTCCAGCTGCAGGGGGCTGGTCTGCACTGGGCTCTTTCCCTGGGAAGTCCCTGGTCCTCCAGCTGCAGGGGGCTGGTCTGCACTGGGCTATTTCCCTGGGAAGTCCCTGGTCCTCCAGCTGCAGGGGGCTGGTCTGCACTGGGCTCTTTCCCTGGGAAGTCCCTGGTCCTCCAGCTGCAGGGGGCTGGTCTGCACTGGGCTATTTCCCTGGGAAGTCCCTGGTCCTCCAGCTGCAGGGGGCTGGTCTGCACTGGGCTCTTTCCCTGGGAAGTCCCTGGTCCTCCAGCTGCAGGGGGCTGGTCTGCACTGGGCTCTTTCCCTGGGAAGTCCCGGGTCCTCCAGCTGCAGGGGGCTGGTCTGCACTGGGCTCTTTCCCTGGGAAGTCCCTGGTCCTCCAGCTGCAGGGGGCTGGTCTGCACTGGGCTCTTTCCCTGGGAAGTCCCTGGTCCTCCAGCTGCAGGGGGCTGGTCTGCACTGGGCTATTTCCCTGGGAAGTCCCTGGTCTTTCAGCTGCAGGGGGCTGGTCTGCACTGGGCTATTTCCCTGGGAAGTCCCTGGTCCTCCAGCTGCAGGGGGCTGGTCTGCACTGGGCTCTTTCCCTGGGAAGTCCCTGGTCCTCCAGCTGCAGGGGGCTGGTCTGCACTGGGCTATTTCCCTGGGAAGTCCCTGGTCCTCCAGCTGCAGGGGGCTGGTCTGCACTGGGCTATTTCCCTGGGAAGTCCCTGGTCCTCCAGCTGCAGGGGGCTGGTCTGCACTGGGCTCTTTCCCTGGGAAGTCCCTGGTCCTCCAGCTGCAGGGGGCTGGTCTGCACTGGGCTATTTCCCTGGGAAGTCCCTGGTCCTCCAGCTGCAGGGGGCTGGTCTGCACTGGGCTATTTCCATGGGGAGAGATTGGGGGTGGTTGCCACAGCCCCTCTTGCACACCTGGCCTGCCTTCTGGACTTCTTCTGGACGGGTGGGCTGTGGCTTTCTCCACTTGTGCTGCTGGATTTGTCGCTGAAACACAGAGGGATGGTTTCAAGTTGCCTAGAGCCAGCTTTTCACACAAAATGCTCTTTCAGGGTCCCTTTGACACCTGCCAGCCCACAGAACTCAGTTAAAGGAGGTGGTTCCAATCAAAGCACCGCTCACAGACCTCGAAGTGTATTTTCCCCACCTCTTCGCCTTTGCTCCCCCCATGCCCCTCGTCGGGAGCATCCTTGCTTCTTCTTCCCCTACTCAGATCCTACAGTGTTTCACGGCCTGCAGCAGGTTCTGCGGGCTCCGACCCCTCTGGTCCAACGTTGACCTGCTGTCTGTGCCTTTCGGCAGGATGACATACTTTCTGGAGCCCAGTCTCTTTAGAATAAGGTGGGTCTGTCTACCTGGAGAATAAGTTCATCGTGGGCCCTTCTGCCGTCCTGTCTGCTTCATGAGCACTTAACCTGGGGCCGAGGGCAGACCTGGGGATGGTCAGTCCTCCTCGTCACGCTGTCTTGGTGTTCCTGACCCCGGACTGACTTTTCATTTCAGGAGTCTCTTCTCTAAATTGGACCCTTGAGCTGAACACCCATTTCACTTGGCTTTGGAGGCAGGCAGAGCTGGGTGCTGAGCCCAACCCTGGTCCGGGGGCAGGGGACTCTTCTCTGGGATGTCAGCGTCCTCCTCTGTGACCCTCGGCTCCTCATCCCGTTTGACCCCTTCTCACGTGGGGGCTGATTGACTTCTTCGAGTGGCTGCTTCTTCCCGTGACTGCCTGGCCGGGGTTTCTGGGCGGGGGGTGGTGGTGGTGGTGGTGGTGGTGGAAGACGCCCCCTTTCTCAAGCTCTCCCCTCCTCTATGCCTCGTCCCAGGTCCTTTTTAGTGACCCGGGCCCTCAGCACCAGGGTCCAGCACTTGCTCTCGCCCTGTCTCCCTGTGTTTCTTCCAAATGCCTCAGAAACAGACTCGCCTGCTTTACATGTGTGGTTCTAGGCTGAGGGCGAGACCTTTCCTCATCCTCAGGACACGTGGCCAACTCTTTACTTTCGGCCTGTGACTCTGGGGCTTCTCTGAGGAGGCAGGCTGGTGCTTGTCCCAGACCCCTCTCCATCGGACAGGCCCTGCCTTTTCCCAGACCCCTCTCCATCGGACAGGCCCTGCCTTTTCCCAGACCCCTCTCCATCCGACAGGTCCTGCCTTTTCCCAGACCCCTCTCCATCCGACAGGCCCTGCCTTTTCCCAGACCCCTCTCCATCGGACAGGCCCTGCCTTTTCCCAGACCCCTCTCCATCGGACAGGCCCTGCCTTTTCCCAGACCTCTCTCCATCGGACAGGCCCTGCCTTTTCCCAGACCTCTCTCCACCGGACAGGCCCTGCCTTTTCCCAGACCCCTCTCCATCGGACAGGCCCTGCCTTTTCCCAGACCTCTCTCCATCGGACAGGTCCTGCCTTTTCCCAGACCCCTCTCCACTGGACAGGTCCTGCCTTTTCCCAGACCCCTCTCCATCGGACAGGGCCTGCCTTTTCCCAGACCCCTCTCCATCGGACAGGTCCTGCCTTTTCTGCTTTTCCTAGAGGTTCATGGGACCGGACCTACAGTCTTAGGCCCGGCAGGCGATGGAGCAGATGCTCCCCCCCTCAGCTGGGAGGAAGAGCCCGGCACTAATACCCTGAAGGCCTTGTGCTGGATTCCAGCCAGCTGCCTCAACCCCTGCGGGTGAATTATTTGGGGGAATGTGCTGGCTTTGACCTTCCTCTTGTAGGTGGTGGTCTTTTCTAGGCTGGCCATGTGACTGGGGGGGGGGGGGGAGGTGAGGGAAGTAGTATGAGTAGCTATGATAAGCAAACACACAGAAATATAAACAACAAAGGTTCCCTTCGCTGGGCCCAGTCTCCCTTCCCGTCTCTCATTGAGTTTCAGCCATACCGACCTTTGCTCAGTGCCTCTAAGTTGCTTCCTGTCTCAGGCCCTTTGCACATACTATTTTTTCTGCGTGGAGCACTATTCCCCCCTTTCGCAGTCACAGGCTAGATCCTTCTTTTTTTTAATTTCAGGTCTCAGCTGAAATGTCAAACTCAGACCCTGGTACTCAACATTCTTCCAGCCGTCCACACTTGCGGAGGACTTCCCACAGGGCCGACTGTGGGGCATCGCCTGCTCAGGACACGACTGTCCTGTTAGACCAGTGGTTCTGGGTTTGAGGAGTCCGCGAATGGGGATAGAAAAAAAAGGTACACCTTTGTTTTAACTGGCCGTGAACAGGAACGGAAAGCACGGGTATTTGTACATCACTTGCAGTTGCGGGAGCTGTTTTGAAAAATCGTTTACACTCGACGCTAATCCGAAATCACGGTCGTTCCTGGAGCCGCCGGCGGAGTCTTGTTCCACGGTGCATTTGGAGACGCTCTGATTTACCGCATCGCAGACGAGGTTGTCATATCATAGTCTATCTCACTATAGATTTCTTTGTAAACCTTCGTAATTTATAGCTTGCATTCAACAGCATTTTTTTCCTGAAAGGATCTATAGGCTCCGTCTCACTGTCAAAGGGTTTTGGGCACACACAGGAAAAGGGGTGATGCCAGTCCAGACAGTGAGATTCATGAGGGCAGACTACGGTGGTCTTATCTGCTGCTGAATCCCCCCCAAACTAGCACAGTTCCTGGCACATAGCGGGTTCAGTGAATCCTTGAGATGAATGAATGATGAAAAGGGGGCTGATCTCCCCTCCCCCACTTTAACTCACCCCACAAAGAGGGAAGGACTATTTCTGTAACATTCTCCCTACTTTCTCCTCCACACTGGAGGGTGTCAACTGTGTGGCTGGTTAGTATGCAATTGTTGGGGAGCAGTGCCTGGGCACTCACCCCCCAGCCCCGGGAGTTAAGGGGCTTATTTCTAGTGAAGAAGACAAAAGCCGCCCTCCCGGCCCCACTCCCCAGGGTCTGCGGAGGCACATCTGTGCAATGGCCCCCGTGGCTGCGGGGTGCGTCCCGGCCCCCCGCTGTGGGCCCTAGGCCTCCCTACCTTGACTTGCGGGTGGTCTGCGAGTCTTTATAGGCAGATTCGCTCTTGGTTTGTCTCACCATGGACAAGGCACTGCAAAGCAAGATGAGTTTCTTAATAAGGTGCCCAACCTACGGTGCTCTGAGGTGGTCATTACTGTTTCTGGGAGGACAAAGAATTCTCTTGCTAGAGCCGGGCTCCTTAGACTCTTCTGGGCACAGGAATCACCTGAAGGGGTTGCTAAGGATGCAGATTCCTGGGCCAGGTTCCCGGGGACTTGGATACTTTAGGCCTGGAGTGGGGCCCCAGAAGCTGCATTTAAAACCACACACGTGCACACGCACACACACAGGCACATGCGCGTGCACACACACGTGCACACAGGCACACACACGCACACAGCACACACATGCACATGTCTAGTGCGCGCGTGCAGGGAGCACCGTTTGGAAACCAGGCTTCTCAGCTTGTTGTGAAGTAGTGCCCACGGCAAGTGCTCATTTAGAACCATGGTCTCCTCCGGAGGTTCTGATCCAGTGGGTCTGAGGTCAAGACCAGGCACTTGTAGGTTTCACGAGCACTGCAGCTGATTCCGATCATCGGGGACCTTGGAAGAGACTGCTAGAGGCACTGGAGGAAAGGTGGCCTTCCTAGCCGATGCTGCGGGCTGAATGCGCGCGTCCCCACCCCCACCCCAGTTCCTACGCTGAAATCCTACCCTGCAAGGTGATAGTTGCGAGGTAGGGCCTTTGGGAGGCGATGAGATCATGAGGGTGGAGACCTCATGACTGGAATTAGAGTCCTTCGTAAGGGACCCCAGAGAGCTCACGTGTCCTTCCCACCTGTGGAGTCACAGTGAGAAGACAGCGCTCTGGGGGGCAGAGGGCCCCAGCTGGACACCAGTCTGCCAGCACCTTGACCTGGGATCTCCAGCCTCCAGAACCGTGAGATACAATGTCTGTTGTCTATACACCCCCCGGTTCATGCTATTCTGTGACAGTGGCCCAAACGGACTGAGAGGACAGAGGGAGCTCTGGCCTCGAGGTCGGGGTTCCTAAAAAACCCAGAATTCTATGTCAGCCTTGGTGAGAGCAGATTTGACGTCTCAGGTGAGAAGGGAACCCGGATTCAAAGGTGAGGAGGGCGAAGGAACACCTGCGGCTTGTCCTGTCCCTGCAGCTCCCGGGGACCTTCGATACCCGCCACCGCAGTGAGAGACAGACGGGAGGTCTTCCTCCCGAGGAGAGGGGGAGGGGGGGATTGCAGCGGGTTCCTGCTCTGTAACCATGGTCACGTTATCATTAAGGCGAATGCAGAGGCCACGTGATGAGTTCTGTGAGAACCAGGTGCTTGCGTGGTTTTGTCCTCCACACCTGGGAGCCGGAGTCTCGTCCAGGTGCCGCGAGGACTGTGAGACACTGTGGGTGTGGAACGACAGTCCTGGCCACCACCACCACCGTGACCGCCGCTGCCGTTGGTCGCGTGCTCACCGCGCCGGGCGCATCCCGATCTGGGTCTATGTGGCTGAATGCTCAAAGCGGCTCATTGGCGCGGACGCTGCTCCGGTAACAGAGAGGAGAATACTCTGCCGGGGCAGTGTCTTTCCATTCTCCTCTGGCCCTTTGGGAGAGGCTGTGCCTGAGCCTCATTTTACAGCATTGGAATTAGGCCCAGAGAGGTGCACCCACTTGCCCAGCGTCACACAGCAATGAAACGATGAGCGTGGAGAGGAACCCTCACCTGTCTGCTTGCAAGGCCAGTGCTTTGGTGCGGCCCAGCCTCATAGAGGGGAAACGTGAGGCTGAGAGAAAGGCTGAGGGGCTTGTTCAGGAGCATCAGGATTCGAACCCACTGCAGTCCGGCTCCAAGGCCAGTGATCATGCTGTGCGTTCCTACGGGGGGAGGGGGGCGGCTTCTAGAGCCAATCATCATCATCCGGGTCTTTCTCGCATGCGGATGAGCCAGGCACCGCAGTCGGGGCCTTAGGGGCCCACGCTGTGTCTGTGTTGGCCGGCAAGGGCCACTCCCCGGAGCCCCGATGCGAACGGAGGCAGCGGCAGACACATCCGTCATTACCAGCAGAGGTGGAGGAGCTGGGCGCACGGTGTTCTGGAAATAACACCGGGTCACAGCTGGCATCTCAGTCGGCTGAAGGCGGTGAACCTCCTCTGGTGCGTGTTTATTTTTAGCATGTGATGTGCTTATTGGGTGGGCTCTGTGCTTGGGAAGGGAAGTCCAGCTCCAGCCACGCACTCCCTGGGGCTGCGAGAAGCCAGAGCTCCATGGACCAGGCTTCCCGGGAGGAGGACCCTCCGGGTTCAGGGCTGACACTCGGAGCCAGCCACATGGGTGGCGGGCTTGGAACTTCAAAGGAATCTTGTGGCTCCTGGCATAGGCACAAGAGTCCTTGAGGTGGCCGAGCAGACAGACTTATGCCTCTCCCCATGCGTTTAGGCTGCATTTCAGTTTTTGAAGATGCTGTGGTCCCTTTGAACTTGTTTGCATGTGTGTGCACACTGTAATGTTCTCCCTCGTCCCCCACGCCCACTGCTGCCAACTGGCTGGCTTGGAGCCTTCTCTGATGCCCGTATTTACCCAGGTCTGAGCTTCCCGGCCGGACAACCCCCTCTGTAATTAGTGCACAGCCATGCACACTTGTATTCACTAACAGAATAGACGGATGACCGGATAGAGAACGGTGTTTGGAATTAGATCTGGATTCAAGTCTCGCTCTTACCTTCATTAGCTGGGTGACCTCCCACAAGTTACTTCACCTCTCTGAGCCTCATTTCCTTATTTGTAAAATAAAGGCGCTGACCTGGAAGGGTGGTTGTAAGAACCGGGCAGCTGATACGCAGGAGAAAAGGTCATGGCTCAGTGTGGCAGAGAAAGTGCCCGCTAACCCAGCACCCGGAACCGCTGTTGTTCACGTTAGTTGTTCTGATGGCTCTCGTCTGCCCCCGAGTCAGGAGAACCTACCTGGGCGCTTTTTTCTGTACCCCGTTCTCGATCGTGACTGTCCTCCGGGCCTCCTCCCGGACCATCTCCAGGAGTTTCTGCAGATCTGGCGGGAACAGGAGAGGTCACTGTCTGGAGGGCCCAGCCCCAGCCTAGTGTCGCCTCTGCTTCTGAGCATTGGGGAGCTGGAGAGGGATGAGATCGGGGTCCAGGAGGGGTGACTCACAGTGTTTGAAGGGTAGGAGGTCTGACCGTGCCCCTCATTTGCTTGAAACCCTTCAGTGAGTCTCCATTTTCCTTTCGGGCGACATCTAAATCCCTCCCTGTGGCCTCCAAGGCCTCGCAGGACCTGGCTGGCTTCTTCCCTGTCTCATCCCACCCCCTACCCCCCTTCAGCTCGACTCTAGCTGGAGGGAACTGTTTCCATTTCCAAGAAGAAATCAGTGGTTCAGGAGACCCGCTCTGATTCCAAACTAGTCACCCACAGGCCGACTCTCGCTCTCAGATGTGTGCGATGTGATTCGATGCAGATGCAGCCTTTTGAAACGGGAAGGTTTCACCGACCCCAGCTTCCTGGGGAGACTTACATGGGTCTGATTCCTGCCGCAGGCCGGCTGCCCATGGGGGCCGACCACCCCTCCTTGCATTAGCTGACTTTTAGTGCATGCTTAATATTATTGCTCTTCGCAGCGTGTGGCGATATTTCTTTGCACCCCGACCCCCAGTCCCTCTGATTACGTGCATCATTCTCACATTGATTGGGGACAAGGGATGTTGCCCATGGAACTGGTTAAGGGGAGGTCAGACTGGAGTAGGGTCGGTGCTTAATCCAATATGACTGGTGACTTGATATAAGAGGGAGACACACGCACAGGGGGAAGGTGACCAGAGGATGAGGCGGAGATTTGGCGGATGACGTGTCTACACGCCAAGCCACCAAGGGGACATCCTTTCCTCCGGGTTTCAGAGGAAGCGTAGCCCTGCTGACACCTTGATGTGGGGATTCTAGCCTCTGGAAACGTGAGGTAGTACATTCCTGCTGCTGTACGCCCCCAGTTTGTGCCACATTGTCACGGCAGCCCTCGGAGGCTGCTACAGGGCACGCTCAGAAGTTACGAAGGGAACCGTATTTGGAGTCAGCCCTGTGTTCAAGGAAAGTGGGAGAGTGGACATTCCAAGAGTTTGACGTGGTACAGACGTGCAGGTGTCTGGCCCCGTGCTTGTAGTGTGGCGGTCTCCGTCAGTGTCTCAGCTAAACAAATGAATGACTAAGGACGAAAAAGAGGGATGGATTTGGCCGACTATGAGTTAGATTTGGGATGTCAACAAAGGAGGACAATGTCTGTGGAGATACTTTGTACCCTTTAGCAGGTGCCTGTAGTCAGCTCAGCTCTCAAAGCCATACGGGGAGGGTGAAGCCCAAGACTGGGAGCTTCAGGGTTGGCAGAAGGATTGACCTCAGCTTTGGTTCCTGGGGAATCCCCTTGCCATGGACTTGGGGGCGGGGATCGCCACGCCCTCTCTGCTGATTTGCATCTACAAAGACGTCGTTATTCACCGGGTTCTGGAAACAGAAACCCCAGTCAAATAGTGTGTCTCTCAGAACAGGACTCAGGGATTCAGAATCAATTTGAGGAGGTTTTAGAAGGCAACGGAAGTCTGAGAAATTACTCTGCTTTTGTCAGAGCTGTGACGGATGGGGTGGAGGGTGAAGTATAAACAGAGAAGGGTGAGGAGACCGGTGGAGGAAGACTTGCTCTGTGGGATGCGGGTCTCCAGTGGGAACGTGTCTCCTGGCCCTGGTGGTGCATCTACTGTGTGTCAGGCTGAAGGGAATGAGGCATTGTTCTGGGACTCCAGAGACCTCGCGTTTCTTTTCTCTTTCCTCCTTCGTAATGAAAATAAATAAACAATAGTGTGTGTGTGTGTCTGTGCACATGCATGTATTTGTGTGTCTGTGCATATGCATGTATTCGTCTGTGCACACATGCATGTATTTGTGTGTGTCCGTGCACATGCATGTATTTGTGTGTGTGTCTGTGCGCACGTGCGCGCGTGTGTGTGCGTGTGTGTTTAAGTATCTGCTAGCCCGGTTTCCCGGGATACTTTGACGCTAGGCATGGCCCTGAGGACTGAATTCTGGGCAATGAGATTTTAGAAGTGTCGTATGGAGCTTCTGAAAAGGCAGAAACCACGGGGAAAGTGTGCTCTAGAGTGAGGATCGCAGGGTCATACAACTTCCGTGTATAAGACGTTCAGAAGAGGCAAAGCCTTGGGGACAGAAAGTAGATTTGTGGTGGGGGGAGGGGATAGCAAGGGAGAGGGCCTGACACTGGATATAAGGTTTGCTTTTGGGTTGATCAAATGTTCTAAAATTAGATTGTGGTTACCCAGCTCTGTAAATTTACTATAACCCATTGAATTGCACACATAAAATGAGTGAATTTTATGGTATGTAAATTATACCTCAACATCTGTTAAAATAGACAGTGAATTTCAAAACTTAGCATGAAAAAATATAAAATATCTTGCCCTGGCAGGTTTGGCTCAGTGGTTAGAGTGTCGGCCTATGGTCCAGAGAGACCCGGGTTTGGTTCCTGCTAAGGGCACGTACCTCGGTTGCAGTTTGTTCCCGGCCCTGGTTGAGGTCATGTGGGTGGCAGCCAGTTGATGTGTCTCTCTCACATCGATGTCTCTCTCTCTCTCTCTTTCCCTCTCTCCCTCTCGCTCTATCTGAAGATGAATGCAGAAATGTCCTCGGGTGAGGATAAAAATAAAATACCTCATTAATAATTTTTATAATTATATATATAATTTTGATTACAGGTTGAAATGATAATGTTTTGTATAAATTGGCCTAAATACAATATATTACTAACATCGTAAACAGAGAAGTTGATGACCATTGGCTGCCTCCCAAGGGGAAATAGCTCAGAGTAACCCAGGTTATGGGGTATATTTCTGAGCTCCACCGGAGTAAAGCAGAGGGGTCCAAGGAACTAGAACAGGGCTAGGGGACCCCCATGTCTCTTTTTATTGGGTGGGGGCAGGAGTGAGTGGGGGGTGTTCTCCATGTCTGGCTTCAAGGCAAAGCGTCAGGGCAGATTGGTCAGATCTCAGGCAGGACTTACGGATGTGGAGAGGCTCTTCATCAGGCTTGGTTGAAGACGACTCATTGTCCTCGATGTCCTTGCTGCTCGTTGCCTGGACGGTGGAGCTGGGGGGCTCGTCAGAGCCGGGGTTCGTGGAGATCATGCTGCTCTGCGGAGAGGACCCCCCGCTGGTCCGGGACAGGCTGAGCGTGGAGCCTCTCCGGCTAGGTTTGCGGGTGGTCACGCGCAGTGTAGGAATTTTGAATTTCTTGGACTGGAGGGAAGAGAGAAGAAAGAGGGATTTTAGAAAGAAGGAAGGAAGGACAGAAGGAGGAAGAGAAAGAAGAAGGAGGGTGGAAAGAAGGAAGAAAGGGAGGGAGGAAGAGAGAAGAAGAAAGGCAGGGAGGGAGGGAGGAAGGAAGAAAGGGAGGAAGGAAAAGAGGGAGAGAAGGAAGGCAGGGAGGGAGGGAGGGAGGGAGAGAAGGAAGGGAGGGAGAGAAGGAAGGGAGAGAGGAAGGAAGGGAGGCAGGGAGGGAGGAAGGGAGGGAGGAAGGGAGGGAGGGAGGAAGAAAGACTAAGTGAAAACCTCGCCCTGTGTGTAAGCTCCTTTGGCTCTTCCCAAACACGATGAGATACATTATCGTCAGTCTGAAGGGATCTTCTGTCGCAAACTGAGATAATGGAAACGTGTGTATTGGAAGCAGACGTGGCGGGAGGTTCTATTCCCTGAGTTCCAGGGCCACCCAGGCAGTCACCCCGGGGAGCAGACCTTACTCCAGCGATGCTGCCATGGCCTGGAACCGATTTTGACTTTTCTTTTGTAATAATCATTGGAATTGATTTTAACCCGTGGCTAATTTCTACATGTTGGTTTTGATCTCCAACTGCATGTATCAATTCTCATTCACCAAGGTGATGCCTGGGCCTCCGGAATGAAGGTCTGTGTTAATGTGGTTTTTCCAAAGAACACGGACGGAAAACATTCGAAGCCTGCCACTCGTGAGGTGGAGGAGGGGGAGCGGGTGTGTCTGGTGCGCTGGCACTCACGGGGGGGGGGGGGGGCACGCCCGTGGCTGCGATGGGCAGGAAGGTCTAGATGGCACGTCCTAAAGCTCTGGGTGGGTAGGAAAGTCCTGTGAGGGGGATGTAGACTTTTGGAAGGAAAGGAGTCAGAGAGGTCTGGTTACACGTGTGTGTGTGTGTTTGTATGAGTGTGTGTGTATGTGTGTGTGTTTGTGTATGTGTGTGTATGAGTGTGTGTTTGTGTATGAGTGTGTGTATATGAGTGTGTGTATGTGTGTTTGTGTATGTGTGTTTGTGTATGTGTGTGTATGTGTGTGTATGTGTGTGTTTGTGTATGTGTGTATATTAGTGTGTGTATGTGTGTGTGAGTGTGTGAGTGTGTGTGTTTGTGTATGTTTGTGTATGTGTGTATGAGTGTGTATTTGTGTATGAGTGTGTGTGTGTTTGTGTATGTGTGTGTATGTGTGTGTTTGTGTATGTGTGTATATTAGTGTGTGTATGTGTGTGTGAGTGTGTGTTTGTGTATGTTTGTGTGTGTGTATGAGTGTGTATTTGTGTATGAGTGTGTGTGTTTGTGTATGTGTGTGTATGAGTGTGTTTGTGTATGTGTGTGTATGAGTGTGTGTTTGTGTATGTGTGTGTGTGAGTGTGTGTGTTTGTGTATGTGTGTATGTGTGTATGAGTGTATGTTTGTGTATGTGTGTATGAGTGTGTATTTGTGTATGAGTGTGTGTGTGTTTGTGTATGTGTGTGTGTGTTTGTGTATGTGTGTATGTGTGTATGAGTGTATGTTTGTGTATGTGTGTATGAGTGTGTATTTGTGTATGAGTGTGTGTGTGTTTGTGTATGTGTGTGTATGAGTGTGTTTGTGTATGTGTGTGTATGAGTGTGTTTGTGTATGTGTGTGTGTGAGTGTGTGTGTTTGTGTATGTGTGTATGAGTGTATGTTTGTGTATGTGTGTATGAGTGTGTATTTGTGTATGAGTGTGTGTGTGTTTGTGTATGTGTGTGTGTGTTTGTGTGTGAGTTCCTGACTCTAGAAACCAGGCGCTTTAGACCAAGGTCATTTTTGCAGGCTGGACGGACGGTGTCGTGGGGCAGCCTGGACTCCTGCAGCGAGCACAGGACACGGGTCCACGGGGACCTTGAGCGAGTGGCTCTGCCTTGCCTCAGTGTCCTCATCTATAAAACAAAGAGGAGGGGCTGGGATGATCTGAGAAGAGCTTTTCATATCCAGAGTTCGGCATGCGTCTTCCTTGGGCTAGGAATTCATTTTGTGCTTCTGAGGTTGACATTAATTAAAATTCAATTAACAGCCTCAGTCAGGAAGCACAAAGCGAAGGGCTGACACTTCTGATTAATTGAGAGTGGCAGAGAAGTAAAAGGGGAGGGGGGATGTGACAGGCATTTCAGCATCTCCCTTGCCCTTATTGAGCTGACTCCCCCGAAGTGACTAAATCCCCAATGCCTCTTGTCTATTTCTTTTCTTTTTTCACTCAAGAGCTGTGCTGACCAGCTGCTCTATTCCACCTCAGCAGGGACCACAGTGATTCCTCATAATTTCCAAGAAGTTGGAGTTCCAAATGGATGGTCCAGGGGGAAATGTGTTTAGCTGCCCAGAATTTTACAAATTGAGGGGATCTCTATATCAACACAGGGGCTGTTGTTTTCTCTTGAAAATGATAAGCCCTGGGCTCCCATTCTCACATGGAGAAATGAGCTAATGCTGAGCAGAGGTTCTTCCCTTTGGCCCTATGGGAGGATCCCTGTTCGCCACAGACCTCACCACTCCCTATTGCCTTACTCAGCCTGGCCTTTTCAATGTGCTCAGTGTGCCAGGCTCTTATGCACACTGCCTTGGCACCGCCAAGCTCTACACATACTGAAGCCTAACACTTGCTGTGTGAGTTGATTAGAGTCTCTCGGTCACAGTGCTTGTTTTATAGGCGGAGAAACGGAGGTCAGGAGAGATGAAAGGGCTTGTTCAGTGCCACACGGCGGACGGCAGTGCGGAGGCTGAGCCGGGTCTCCTGACTCCTGATGCAGTGCTCCCCCACCCTCAGAGTGGACCGAGTTGCCACCCAGAGTGTGACCCACAGCCTTGCCTGGGGGGATTCAATTTTGTGGGAGTTCGAATGTGGTGACTCCCTCTCCCCTCCTCCAATCCCCACTGCGTATGTTCCTGAAGGACATTTCTTAAAGGATTGCTGCTCTTGCTGCTTTTTCTGTGCATCTCCGGAGGCGGGTGCACACGATGTCTCCATAGCAACTTTCTGTGATAAAAACCGGCGCCCTGACTTCTCAGAGCTATGAGCACCCCGATGTAAGAGCAAGGAATTGCTGACACTCTCCACGAGGGGCAATTAGAGTCGTGACACCGCGGAGAACATGCATTTGAAGCCGTGGTGTTTCCCAAAAAGTGTTTCCTAAACAGACCAGGATCGACTCCTGGCTCTGCCATCACCCAGCTGTGTGACCTCATGCAAGTCACTTAACCTCCCTGAGCCCCAACTCCTCTCCCATCTGGGAATGAGAATAGTGCCTCGTGGGATTATTAAGAGGACAGACTAGTGTCCCGAGCACAGAACCTGGTCCACTGCAATTGCGTTAAGAAGTGGCTTCTATAAGTGATAAAACCACGGTAATGCTCAGCACTTGCACATGTTCAAGGTGAGTTTGCGTATTGTCTCCTGGGATCCTTGACTGATGCTGTGAAGAGGACAGGCGACATTGGACCCATTGTGGGTAGAAGGGTAGTCAGCAAACACACCAGCCTGCATGCTCTCTCAGCCACCTTTACGGAGCTGTCGTCATCGTTATTATTATTATTATTATTATTTTGGTGCTTTGTTGAGTAGATGAATTTGGGAGATTTTGGGTTAAGAATAGTTTTGGGTGAAGAGAATAGACCTCTTGATGTTCTCTTAATAAACAGGTTGTAGTCTGTAGAAAGCCCTGTCGAATTACTCACTTATTACTGTGTCAGAGAGAGAGAGAGAGAGAGAGAGAGAGAGAGAGAGACATGTGGGGGAGGAGACTGTTATTGATTGAGAACAGAGTCAGGTGAGTCGGTTCCCTTCTGGTGACATCCTAGTAAGCAGCGCCTCAACCCCCCCCCCCCCATTCTCTGTGCAGTGGTGTCCAGTTAAATGTCATTTCTCCTCTGATCCCCGGATAACTACCCAAGAGCATGTGGTTCTGACTGGCCTGCGCTCCGAGAGCCGACTGGGAAAGAGAAAGTCCCGAGAGAGAAGACTGGCGAGAAGGCCTCCAGCACAGGCCGGGGCTGGTCGCCAGGTGTCCGCGGCGCGGGCCGGCTCTTACCTTCGACGTGGTGACGAAGTGCTCCCACCTCTGCTCCATGAACTTGTCCTTAGTGATTTTTTTTATTGTGCTCTTGCTTCCGCCTGGGTCCCTGAGTGAGAAACAGCTTCGTGAGTCCTCCGTTGGCAGAGTCTCGGTTGATTACAAGTCCTTTTAAGAAATGCAATCAACAGACGAGGGATGGTGGCTGGTCTCCGTTCTGATTTTTCCCCTCCACCCTGTACTTGTGCAGGAGTGGGAGGGACGGTTCTCCATAGCTGGGTCTTGCGAGTGAAAATCGAGGTGAGAGAGACCAGCGCTTACTGGGGGTGGGGAGTGGGGGTCGGGCTATATTTGCATGCACCCTACACCTGCCTGGGTTTTGGGCTGGGGCCCTCCCAGAGGCTCCAGGGCAGGTGTGTGCTTGCTCCTGGGGGTGAAGTGAAAAGCATGTTCATGTCTGAATCTCTGCCCACTGTAATGTCCGAGGGTCCCCCTGTCTGACATTTCTAAGTAACACACCGAGAGAATTACTGGGTGTGGCTGGGGGCAGCTTGAGGGTGGGTTTGGAGTTTATTGAGCAAAAGTTCTGTACAATGTTATCTGCAAGATCTCCTGTGCATTCTTGCTCAGTCATGGTAACAAAACCTGGTGATACAGGTTTTGTTGCCTCTCTTACAGAATGAGAAAACAGACTCGAGGAGGGGGCTTACGTCACTGTTACCATGATGTATGTTTGCAATGAATCCAATGACCCTGGCTTGCCTGGGTCACTCAGGACCCTGTACTTAGCTTTTTGTGTTATAATTTTGTATTCTGTTTCTTAAAGCACTCCCCTCCCCCAGTTAAATAAACGTAAGGTCTCCCATAACCTGGACCCTCCCCTCGTGGGTTGGGAATGTTCTGGGTTTGAGACTGAAGCCCCAGCAGGCTCTGTTGGTGACATGCCCACCATTCCTTATCTGAAGCCCATGGGACCAAGTGTGGGACCAAACTCAGAATCTTGACATCTTGGAAAGGGCTAAACTGTGCATGTCACATGCTGATATCATCCCTCCAGTGGGGTCTGAGGCAGCATGCTGTAATCACACACCATGATATTTCTGCAATGATATGTGTGAATATAGGTAACAAATAAAGATAAAGACTACAAGTTGCCTCAGGTTGAGTTTTACCATCAAATCAATTGGGTTTATCTCAGATTTTGCTGCCAAATGAGTTTTGGGGAAACTAAGTCTTCAGACCCTTTTGGATTTTGGACGTGTGGCTATGTAGTGGTGGATCTCTGATGAGCAAGCAGAAGACTCTGCCTGTGCTTTCTCAACTACTGTACCTATCTGTCGGTTGGTTGATTGATTGATCTGTTGATCTCTTTCCTCCCTGTATCTATCCATCCATCCATTCAATCCATCCATCCATCCAACCCATCTATCTATCCAATGCATCTAATCCATCTATCCATCCATCCATCCATCCATCCATCCATCCATCCATCCATCTATCTATTCCATCCATCCCTCCATCCATTCCATCCATCCATCCATCCATCCATCCATCCATTCCATCCATCCCTCCATCCATTCCATCCATCCAATCCATTCCATCCATCCATCCATCCATCCATCCATCCATCCAATCATCCAATCCAATCCAGCCATCCAATCTATCCACCCAACCCATTCAATCCATCCATCCATCCAATCCATCCAATCATCCAGTCCATCCATTCATCCAATCTAACCATCCAATCCATTCTTTCAATCCATCCATCCATTCATCCATCCATCCATCTATCCAATCCAATCCAATCCAATCCAATCCAATCCAATCCAATCCAATCCAATCCAATCCATCTACCCACCCACCCATCTCTTTCTTTATCCCCTTTTACTCTGCAGAAAGGAGTTTAGATGGCTGGGATCCTTTCTATCATTTGGCTCGCTGTCACCTAGCATAGATGAGGGACTTGAGGGAAAGAGATGGCCAGACCAGTTTGATGAGGGGAAGCGCTGATGGGGGCCTAGACTTATCAGGGGCTGCAGTGCTGCCAGTGTTAGGGCGAGATGCTCAGACACAGGGGGCAAAGGTGATCAAGACCAACCTTACTTAAGACTGGTTTCTCATAGCATGGGCATCTGAGTAGCAGAACCAAAGGCCTTGACCAGCCCAAATGGGGAGGGGTGTGTGCCCTTCACCGGCAGAGCCTTGCTGAGCACCTACCAGCTCACAGCAGCAATGCAAACAAATGCGCGCAGATACCAACGTGGCAGTCAGGCTGGGGAGGGTGGGGTGAGATGTGCCCGCAAGCTTTTTGTAAGACTTTATGTTTGATTACACAATACAAAGCCCCCTGAATAATTAACAGTGAAGCTCATTTAACGTCGGTTCTGCCTGCCTCTCCCCCGAGTAATCAAATTAGGGAATATTTAAAATCCAGCCAGAGGAAAGAGCAGCAATACTTCAGTCCTATAAACAACATTTAAACTAGCAGCACTTTTGAAGTCTGATTGAAGGCTCACCGACTGGAAGCTGTAGCGCTTTCTCTTTGGAGCGTTTCTTTCAAGACTCCAGGGCTTTTTGCTCTTCCCCTTTGCCAGCACAGCCCCTGCTGTGCCTCTAGCCTTCTTCTTCAAGTTCAAAAGCAACCCCTTCCCCTTGTAAAATTAAATCTGGTCCAAGCCAAGCTTTCAAATTCTCAAACACGCGGGCCCGATCGGGAAGATGGAGGTTTTCTGTTAACACTGACTTCCAGGATGACCCGAAATCTATTAGAACTGTAGGCAGCCGACTCAACGAGCTGAGCATGCAGCAGGCTTCCCAGAGATCTTAAAAAGCCGTGTGCCCGTGTGTCTGCAAAGCCGCTGAGAAGAAAGGCCTGGTTGGACAGAACCCGTCTCTCTGTTTCATTTTCAGTGGCAAGTAAACCGAAAGGGAAGATCAATAGGCGGGGAGGAAAGGAAATAAACCACCCGAGCTTTGTCATCCGCAGTGGGCTGACTACCCACCTTTCGGAGAGGGGCAAAGCAGATGGTGCCCCTTCCCACAGCTGGGTGGGTTGCTCATTAGTGCGGGTCACCAAAGAGTCCCAGGTCTCCTTGTAGTCAGGTGTAGCACCGCGACTTGCTTTGCTAAAAAATGCATGAGTGAAAGTAACATGTGCACTTGGGGTGCCGGTCCTCAGGCAGGGCCCCTTTTCTGCTGCGTGGATGGTGGAAGCTGGTGTGGAGATGGCGCTCCTACCCACCCGGGTCCTTGGATGACTCGAATGAGCAGAGAGCCTCATGTTGATGGTATGTAGGGTGAGCAAGACATACACCTGTGTTGTATGCAGCCACCGAGATTTTGGGGTTGTTCATTGTGGCAGCTTAACCCAGTTTACCTAATTGATGCCCCTGATGTACTGTCCGTGACCTTAGACAGGTTGCTCTGAGCATCAGGACCAGGAGAGCGGTGTGTCTTGGTGGTTTAAGAATCAGGCACACTAGCCCTTTGAGGCCGGCCGCCCGTCCCTACTGCTCCTCAGACAGTGGGGTGCTGGCTCTCCCTGGCTCACAAGATCTGAACGTGTGCATTTCTTCCTACCTGCAAGTTCAATGACATTACGTTGCTAAACCCAGAATCAGCCACAGCAAGACCATGTCCACCACAGGCATTGGCGTGACTGTAAATCGTGGCTTCTCTTGCTGAGAGAACTGGTTATTAACCGTGTACCCGCGTACACTGTCCCCTAGCCAAAATCACCATCAGGAGCAAATGGGTGACTAGAAAAAAACAATTTCCAACAAGAGCTCGACTTCTTTTGGGAATCTTTGCTGTCAGGTCTGGCTGAGCTTCTGTCCTGAGAAGCCATAGTAGGACCTCATAAATCTCAGTGTGACCACAGGGAACGATTTTTCGGTCACTTTCTGGGTGCGTTGCTAAAACCAGTCAAAGGAGATAAAGATGGTCCTTTCTGTCTTCTCGGCCCAAATTCTGCATGGTGTCCTTGCCTCAGTTTGGGAGACCGCGTGCCCCAACATCAGAGGCAGAACGCTGTCCTGGTAGCTTGCTCGGGTAGATGAGGTGCCTTTGGAAGACCATCGGCTGAGGGCCCTTTCGCTTGGACTCTGAGCAATCAGCAGTGAAAAATATCAGTTGTTGCTTTGACCTGGAAATTTGATTTCTCAGAATCTAGCCAACAGAAATAGGTCCCACTGGGCTTGACCTGTACGTACGAAGATGCTCTGTGCAGTCCTACTTGAAAGGCAAAAATCTGAGCGCCATCAATAGAGAAATGGGGATCTGAATTATGGCCCATCCATACCGTAGAATACAAGTATTCGCTGAAAGGAATGTGGAAAGTGTTTTAAAATGTGAAAACTTTGTATACACCACCATGGAGAGATGTCTGTAAGACATTGTCAAAGGGGGGGAATCATGGCGAGACCGGTATGTGTAATATGATCCCGTTTCCGTACGACGTTTGCGTGTCTGTATGTATTTATAAGGGGAAGGCCTTACAAGGACTCACCTCAGACCTTCCGAAGGAAGTTCCTCTAAGGGAGGGGAATGGATTGGGGATGAGGGTGGGGGGATGAAGCTTTCATACTTTGCATCACTTCTGAATTTTTGGAAAAATTTTAATAGGAATCAATTGTATGCACTTATTACTTGAGCCATTTTGTTTTTAAAAGAAAACCTTGTGGGAATTGTTTTTTGGGTGTGGTTTTCAAACAAATTCTGTGCGCTGCAAAGATATTTTGGAAATAACCAGGGTGCCTTGGTGGGAGTGGGAGTAGTCCCAGGTCGCCCCGCCCCCCTCCCAGCCCCTCCTGTTTCATGTAGAAGCTCCATTTTGAAAAATTTGTTTTACATTAGTGGGCTTTTCATTTCTTTTAAAAAAGGATTTCTGCTGCTTAAGAAAAAAAAAAAAAAAAAAAGGTTATAAACCACTGCATCAAAGAAAACAACAGTGTTAAATGTATCCCAACCAAGAACATGGGATCACTTGGAATTATCGGTCTATCACTCGATGCATGATTTGTATTTCTGGTTGCATCTGAGGTTAATTCTGGGCTCTGGTGCAAGAGATGAGCAGGGTGTGGGGAGGGGGTGGGGATTTATATATAAATAAATCCAAAAAGACCTTGAGAGAAAGGAGAAATATAAGGACAAAGGGAAAGGAAAGAGTAAAAGGGAGGGAAAGAAAGAAGAGAAAATGAAAAAATACTGTTTGGGAGACATGGTCCAAGAGGAGAAGTCTGGCTGTGCACCCAGCGGTGTGTCTGTCTCACTGGCCAATGCCTGTGGTGTAAATACTCCCACTGCAACGCATTGATTTTAAGCTCCCAGTGTGACGTCACCAAATGTGGGCTCCAGCTCACCCCCGTTTGGATCTCCCAGAGCACCTGGGAAAGAAAACTCTTAAAGCAACCCACCCACCCAAAACAGCAAACGCAGGGGAAGAACAAATAGGTGTTTCCTCCCCCGCTGCCCAGTCTGTTGCTGGTGACCGCAGGTGGAAGGGCTGAGACCTACTTTGGATTCCAGCAGGTGATCAAGGGCTTCATGGTGTGGTGGGTGTGGTCAATAGTCAGGGCCTCCAGAAGCCAGTGGAGGGCACAGAGCTGGCGGAAGAGGGGTTCCCTGCAGAGACAGAAAGAGGGAACACAGGGATCCTGTCAGAATAACACACTTCAGAGTCGTGGCAACAGAGACAGAAGTTGTGCTCCCAGTTAGAGACGTTGTTCCTCTCTAGACAAGCTTCAGCTGCCTGTTGGACTGTCCCTGAACAAATAAATCTCTCTAGAAGCCAATCATAATATCTATCAGAGGAAGGTAGGAGGGAAGTGGACAGTCAGGTGTCTAAAGCTGGAATACTAGGGAGGGTAGGGATATGTCCAATACATGGTGGTGGTGGTGGTGATGGTGGTTATGATGATGGTGGTAGTGATGATGATGATGATGATGATGATGATGATGATGGGGTGGTAGTGGTGGTGATGATGATGGTGGTAGTGATGATGATGATGGTGGTGGTGGTGATGATGATGATGATGATGGGGTGATGGGGGTGATGATGGTGGCATCTTCCACCCATGAGCTAAGTACTCTTATTAACAACCTTCAATTGTCTGCTTTCACTTTGGCATTATTTTACTCTTCAAGTACACATATCGTGAGCTCCTCAAAGGTGCTGGGGTATAGTTTCTGTGTAGTGTGTAGGGGTGAGAGCTTAGACTCTGAAGTCAGACAGACTTGCCTAAAAACCTCAGCACCGCAACACACCAAGCTCTGTGACCTTGGGCAGGCCACTGCACCTCTCTGAGCTCCTGTTTCTCACCCGCAGACAGGGGATAGCAATACAGCTACATGAGAGGCCCGAATGAGGTAACGCCCACAGTGTACTCAGTGTGCCGCTCTTACTGTGCATACCACAGGGGCCCTAAAGTATTTGACAAGTGAGTGGACAGTGGACAGAGGAGTCTGGAATTCACTGCACTATGTTCATTGCCCCTGGGTATGATTTTGCCCCAGGGGACATTTGTCAATGTCTGGAGACATTTGTGGTTGTCACAAGTGGGTGCTACTGCATCAAAGAAAACAACAGTGTTAAATGTATCCCAACCAAGAACATGGGATCACTTGGAATTATCGGTCTATCACTCGATGCATGATTTGTATTTCTGGTTGCATCTGAGGTTAATTCTGGGCTCTGGTGCAAGAGATGAGTAGGGTGTGGGGTGGGGTGGGGATTTATATATAAATAAATCCAAAAAGACCTTGAGAGAAAGGAGAAATATAAGGACAAAGGGAAAGGAAAGTGGGTAGATGCTGCCAAACACCCCACAAGACACCGGACATGCCTTCTTCACAAGAGAGAATTATTTGTCCCGACATGTCAGGTTGAGAAACCCTGCCCTCAAGTCAAAAGCTTCTGTCTCTGTGGCTGAAATCTTCCCACTGAGAAGTGCTAACTAGCCAAAAAGAAAAGGTTGGGCTGGACATTCTTTGGCATAGACCCAAGGGGAACAAGATGTCAAGGTTTTAGGAAGCCAGAGTGTCCTTTGGAGGGTTGATTAGCCCGGCACACCGTGCAGTGATGAGTTCATGCCTCGGGTCAGGAGACACGGAGCTGCTCTGGGACGTAGTTCCGCGAGTCTTTGGAAAACCTGTCCCCAGAGCCGCGGCTGAGATGTTGTCGCGCCCCCTCCATGAGGGCTGTAGACAGATTTTATCAGGCTTTGCAAAGTATTTGACATTTAGAGCGGCTGGCTTGGTAAGGAATGGAACGACTCAGTCTCGGCTGATTTGCCACTTAGCTCTAAACCACTGTGCCTGCTTTCTGTTATTTCTATTCGCCGACCCGCCGACCGGTGGCGTTGGCTCCCCGATCAATGTCTCTTTCGAGACAAGGGAACCGCTGGTTGAGTCATCTCACCTGGGCTGCGCCTGAGAAGCTAGGCAGGCAGAGGAGCCAGAGGGGGGACTGTACTTACACGTGAGCGTCAGGTAGCAGGGGCGCAATGATGCAGCTGTGCTTGGGGGTGAACGGGCGGATTATGACTCGCGCGCCCAGCTTCCTCACCTTCTCATCCTCGTATGTGCTGGGGGACAAGTGGGAAGAGAGAAACAGAGTGAGCAGCAAGTGGCGATTTTAAACACCTTGCACCAGGGGTTATTTGGCACATGCAATTGGGCACCAGCTATCTGCCAGGCAACAGTGATGGCTTGAGAGTTGAGGGTTCTAGATGCAGCCAGTCAGCAGAGCAGGTAAAAACCTCTGCTCTCTTGGAGCCCATATTTTAGTGGAGGAGCAAAGAGAATGAACAGGATGAATAGGCGAATTGTGTGGTGTACTAGTAAGTTTTCTTAAAGGGCCAGACAAATCTTCCTGACTTTGTAGGACATAATGGGTGTATGTCACAGCTACTTAATGGCATGAAAGCAGCCATTGGTGGTATGTAAACAATATGTAACAGCAGTGTTCCAATAAAACTTTATTTACAAAGTCAGCCTGGGGGCTGGATTTGGCCAGCATGGCCTCCCCACCCCATTCTAGGTAGTGATAGATGCTATGGGGAGCAAAAAGCAGACCAGGGGTTTGGGAGGGCTAGGAGCTCTAGGAGTTGTGATTTTAAGTAGGGAGATTGGGAAGGTGTCACCGAGATGGTGACATTTGATGAAAATCTGTACATCATAGCCCTGGCTGGTTTGGTTCAGCGGTTAGAGCGTTGGCCCGCGGACTGGAGAGTCTTGGGTTCGGTTCCTGCTAAGGGCACGTACCTCAGTTGCAGTTTGTCCCTAGCCCCAGTTGGGGTCGTGTGGGTAGCAACCACTCGATGTGTCTCTCTCATATTGATGTTTCTCTCTCTCTCTTCCTCCCTCTCTCCCTCCTGCTCTATCTGCAGATACAAGCAAAAATGTCCTCGGGTGAGGAATAAAAAAAAGAAAGAAAATCTGTAGAGCGTAAAGGAGTGGGCCATTCAGATATCTGGGGCCATAGCATTTTGGGCAGAGGGAACAACATGTGCAAATGTCCTGAGGTGCATCTGTGCGCTTGTGTTGTAGGGACAGCAAGGAGGCCAGTGTGGCTGAAGTGGAGTGAGCAACAGAGAGAGAAAGGAGCGGGGGGAGGCATGAGAACAGGGGCCTTGGGGACCAGTGCAAGGACTTTGACTTTTTCTCTGAATGAGTGTAAAGGATTTTGAGCAGAGAGAATACATGATTTGACTTGCATCTGAGAAGGATCCCTTTGGCTGCTGTTTCAGAATGGCCTACGGTGGGGGCAGAGCAGGCTAAGTAGGGACGACTTTACCTTCGTCCTGGGAATTGAGGACAATCCTGGGGTCACAGAGTGAACTGAAAAGTAGGACCAGAATCTAGGTCGCCTGATTTCCATTCCCATGGGCTTTTTATTCAACCCTAGAGCAGAGGAAGCCACAAGCAAATACCTTGGCAGTGCCCCGTCTTTTTTTTTTTTTTTGATGTCTTTCCATTTATTCAGGTCTTTGTTAATTTCTTTCAGTGATGTCTTGCAGTTTTCAGTGTACAAGTCTTATACATTTTTTTTATTGAATTCATTGGGGTGACATTGGTTCATAAAATGATATCATTTTCAGGGGTGCAATTCTATAGCACATCATCTGTATATTGTATTGTGTGTTCACCACCCCAAGTCAAGTCTCCTCCCAGCACCGTTTATCCCTTCCCCCAACCATGGCTCAACTCTTTCCCCGGTGATTTAGAATATGCAGACATGAACCCAGCTTTTACACTCCTTAATCTCTGGCTTTATGTTTTCTCTTGATCACTATAGCAAGACGAATTTTACCCCTCGTTCCCCCCTCCCCCCACCTGCTGGGCTTAATTTTTCAGCTGAAAATCAAGGTGGTTGAGGGAGCACAGTGGGAAAGGCTGTTGGCAGGCGGAAATCTTTGGGGACGTGCTGGATTTTCTTCTTTCCCTGCATAGTTTTTCAGACTTAAAACTTGGGTCTAAAAGATCCAGAAGGGAGAAAAATAATCCCTTGTGCGTTTGTAATACACAAGATCAAATACCTTGTTTTAAAAAAGTACTTTAAAAAGGAACACTTGTATTTCTCATACTTCTGTGATTGGAATTATATGTATAGAAGCGGAGCTCTTAGATGTGCGATGCTTTCAAGCGTGCCTGGAAATTAAGATTTTTAGCCATCAATCTGAGGATGTTAGGTCACCGAGGCCCAGAGAGATCAAATTCTCTTTGTTGCACAGTAGCAGCAAACAGTTATTGAACACTTTTCATAGGCCAGGCTCTGTGTATGCGGCCTCATCATGAACTTGGGAGTTTGGTGTCATCCATATGGGTGAAAAAAAAGAGAGGTACAGAAACTCACCCAAAGTTAAACAGTCATCTGGGGAAAGTCAGGACTTGAACCCAGTCCCGCGCTCTTAGCCACTACTCTGTACTGGTCAGGATAATCTGTCTGCTGTTTTATCACCCCTGCCTCCGGACCTCCTTTTGATGGCCAAGTGGCAGCAATGGCCTTCAGTGATATTTTAATATAACTTGTCCCGCTCACAGTATTCACCACAGAAGACATAACCAGACCGATGTCTACAAGAGGAGCGACCTCGTGCATATTTAAACTTATTAAACTTAAAATACACCACATCTCTTTCAGAAACATAGATTGGTGGTGGTGGCGGGGGGATTGCGCTTTGTGACTGTGGATGAAAAACCACATCCAAACAAGAGAAACCTTACAAGTGAACGATCTGAGCAAAGGAGGGCGCCCCCCTTCACCCCGCCCCTCCCCCGCAGCACCGGCAGGTTCAGGGAAGGCGGATGTCGCTCTGAGCTCTTGGGACCCTCACAGAGAGGGTTAGAACACCCCCCGACCATCGAGCGCCCTTCTCCGTATCACCTGCTGGACACCGAGCTAGGATCTGGGGTTTCAGGTGACGGTCTCGAATATCGATGTGGATTCAAGAGGAACTAGCCTCCCAGCACGTGATGGGAACCCAGCGTCCAGCTGGGTTCTGCGGGAGTTTGGGCTGCAATCCAAGAAAATGGGAGTGGACGGCATGTAAGCGGGGCTTTGAATGGCCGTTAGAACCTGAGCTGGAAGAGACGGAGGGAAGGGCTGGAAGGCCCGCGGAGCAGCGAAGATAAGGTCTAGAGACCGGGAAGGAGAGGGAAAGAGGCACGTTTGGGGACCAGCAGGATTTCCTGTGTAGCTCTTGGCATTGGCTCTGAGGACAGACACGTGCAGCAGAGAATATTGCACCGAGTGCCAGGCGAGGCCAGACCAGACTAAACACGGTCGTTAGACACGAGCCTGCGCGGGCTCCCGTCTGAGCCATGGCCATCCCTCCGCCCAGCCGGGCAGCGTCCCCCGTCCAAGGTCTTTCCCAAGCCCGCGGTGCCGCAGCCACTGGCTACTTACGCCAAAATGAGATCCCCGCAGTGGATTTCTGAGATCTTCTTGGCTGGTTGGAATTTATGTCTTTCCTCCTCTTGCAGCTTCTGAAGTTGCTGTTGCCTCTTTTTCAAGGTACTCTCCTCCCTCAGCATGTTGAAATACCCATGGCCTATCTTCACCGACCGAATCAAGAAGCTGGGGAGAGGCAGACAGAGAGATGAGTTCACCGTTAAGAAGACTGTCTTACTCGCTTCTTGACTTAGGGCAACATGACTCCCACCTGGACCTCCATGGACACATGGCCTTCCCTTGCGTCGGTCCGATCTTCCTCTCCTTCCTCTTCTAGGTACACCAGCCACTGGAGATAACCTTGACCTACATTCAGGAAGATCTCATCCTGGGGTCCTTAACTTAATGATACCGGTAAAGACCCTGTTTCTGAGTAAGTTTAGATACACAGGTAGGGGGCTAGGACCTAGACATATATTTTAGAGGCAAACAACTTAGTTCCGTACACCCATGGAGGATGAAATTGGAACTAATAGCTTTGCTTAACTACCGTCATTCCTGACCCTCAAGGATTATCCACAAGGAATACCATCTACCTCTTTTAACTGGCTCTTTAACTATATACTGGGTTTTGCTATTATATAATGCTAATTATAGCATAGTTCTAAGTGCACATTAGTTGTGATTAGTCTTATTAATATTAACATATTAATATTACTTCATTTTATGATGGTTCTAGTTATCTATGTCATATTGAGTATATAAGTGAATATGATTATACGTGTGTATAAAACAGTTTATTTTTATAAGAGTGAGAGCAATGAAATGAATAGAAATTTTTTCTTTCCTTGACCAAAAAGCTTTAATGAACATTTATTCAAATAAGTCTGCTACCTCAATTAAAAAAAACAAAACAAAAAAAAAAAAACTGACAGTGTCTTATTGTCTTGAGACCCATCATTGCTACAGGGCGTGCTCAAACCTGCAGGGCAGAAGGGTTTCCCCCTTTAGAACTCCGGAGTCAGATGGACCTGAGCTTGAATTCTGGACCAAAGCCTTGGACAAAGGATTTAACCTCCCCAGGTTTCAGTTCTTCACCACTCCCTCACTCAACAAGCACTTCTTGGGTGCCTACTATGTGCCCGGCACTCTGCTGGGTGCTATAGAATGGGCACAACTCGCATCCCACAGGATTAGCTGCCTTTGTGCACGGAAGGGGTCCGAAAAGTGCCTGGCGTGGAGGAGGGGCTGGTCCCTGAGCATCAGTAGCAGCTCAGGTACTACGTGGCCTGGGCTCCTGGCTAAGGATGACTTCTCTTAGATTTGCCCGAATGTGTCTGCTTTCAGGCTTCTTGAACCCACGGATCCTCCAAGAGTGTTCTGAGGGTGCAAGGTGACCCGACAGAAAGAAAACTCTTACCATTTACAAGCCCTTGATTTCAGACCTGAGGATTTTCTGGGCGTTGCACCAACGAAGCCAATGCAGCGCTCACCCAGGAGCTGGGCTGACGTGGCAGCAGCCGTGTTTCGCTGTTACTTCCGAGAGACCCAGAGGTTGAGACGGACACATGTGCACCCAGAGGGTATGAAATGACGGTTACTCTCAGGACGAGGCTTTCTGGGCAGAGCAGGGGAGGCTCCCAGGCAGGTCTGAAGGCAGTTTGAGAGAAGAGGGGTTGGGGACTGGCCCAGGGCTTCAGGGAGTAGCTGGGGCTGTCAAGTCACATCAAAAATGGAGCCAGACTCTTTAAAAAAAAATTTTATTGTAGGTAAGAGATTTCTTTACTGGACTTATTTATGCTCTTATTACAAAAAGTATTAGAGGCAGAACAAAAAACTGAAAAAGGCAAGAAAGACAAGAAAACAAAATCAAGTGAGACAAGTATCCAAACCTGTGCCACGTGATCTAGTGCACACATTTGGCCCTGAGCATCCTAGTCCCCTGATTCCTAATGACCGTGAGATTTTTAAAAAGCTGTTCAGGTGATGCCTAGCTATTCCTGGTGCTGAAACTAGGAAGAGATTTCTCTCCAGAACCTGTGCAGGGAGGACACTGTGACAAGCCAAGTCTGTTGCAAACCCTGAGATGCAACTAGAGTGATACGTGCCTGTCTTGTCAATGAACTCACGGAAAGGGATGGGGGAGTTGGTGATGGCCAGTTTGAGGAACTCTAACAAGCAGCTTTTCCAGCCAGACTCCCAGCTGCCAGGCCTTCTGGAAAGACCTGGGTGAGAGATGAACAGAGTTGGGGGAGGGTCTGGGTCCTCATGTCAGACACTCCAGTCTATTCTGCAAACTTCGGCTGCAGGATGCTCATTCAGGGAGCTTGAAAGGCTCCCCTGGCACGGCGCAGGCCCGTGGAAACATGCTTCATATTTGAGCAAACTCCCATTGAATTCCCTTGTATGTTCCCTACATCTTCATCATTGTGGCTGATTACCGGGCTATTTGTGTGAAGGGAAATATTTGCAGGGAAGCAGTTTTCGCCCGGGCCTGCCGCCCGCCGCTTCTGCGACATGCAACTCCCCGGGCTAACGTCGCCAGGGGAGTGACAGGGAGTGAAATAACTGCACCTGGTGAACGGAGGAAGAAACACATTAGAAAATGAAACGTTTCCTCTGCCCGGTGCAACTTCCTCTTAACCGATGCGTGGGGGCGGGTGTTTCTTTTTAAGGGACACATGTTCTCTGTATGGGAGTCTGTGTGAGCGGGGGAATGGAGAGAGCCCGCGTGGGCGCTAGGATGTGCTGGGCAGGGCTTAGCCGAGATACACCAATGGGACACAAGTGAGGCAGCTGGGGTTTCCCTCCCGAGCACCTTCAGACTTGAGGGCAGGTGCCTGCAGTGGTGAGGCTTGGGGGACAGCTTCTGGAAGGTTCTACTCTGCCACTCCCTCAGGCAGCTTCCAGTCCTCGCTGAACCACAGCCCCTTTGTCTTCAAGTGGGGACAACAGTGGTTCTTGCCTCAGAGGGCTGGTGGGAGGACTGAATGAGATGGGTTGGGACAGCCAGAGCAGAGCATGGGGCCTCGAGCATGGAATTCAGCGATGCGGAGCTATCGCTATAGTCGGCCCTCCCGGGTCCTGAGAGCTCGGTGTGGTTTACAGACGAGGACACAGGCTGAGGAGGGTCACCGAGCTGGAAGGGGGCAAAGCTGGGACTGGAAGCCAGTGGGGCTGACTTCATGATCCACCTCCCCCCGCCTGCGTGTGGCGAGCGCCCAGTGGGATGCTCCGAAGCGCAGAGTTTATGTACCTCTGGGCCGTTGTGCAGAGTTCATCTGTGGGCCTGTCGAGGAGAAACTGGTGGTTTGCTCCCCCTTTTGGACAACGCCTTACCTAGTCCAAGACGCCACCTGCGGCCGAGCCGGTCTCTGTTCAGCACCCTGCATTCAGGGCTGGGATGTACTTCCCAGCATCCGAAGCTGTGGCCAAGGGGATGCTAGCAGATACGACTTGAACAGAAGCTTGAAATCAACTTGTTCATTTAGGTCCGTGACAAGAAAACAACCACCACAAAAACCCCTCACTATTTCACGAAACCCCAGAAGAATGAGAAAGGCATGGGAGACCCATGAACAATGAATAAATACTAAAAGTGACAGAATTTTGGGGAAGCTTGTTACACAGCATATTATGATGAAAATAGCTGACCAATACATCATCCTTTACAAGACGTACCATTATTTCATGAACCATGAAGAATGAAAAGCCCGTGCCGATGACATTGTCATAATTGTACATTGACTCCCAGTTCAGAGATGTTAAAATGTAAAGAAAGCGTCTCCTAGATATGATAAAATATGGTATTAAGAAAGAAATTGCCTCAGACCTGAGAAAAGATGGTCTGGAACAGAACTTGGATCATAAAGTAATTCACAGCCCTTTCTGAGGAGCATCCAGTGTATCTGGTAAACTATTTGAGCAATTCCTTGATAACCTCTAATAAAATTAAGAGTTATTTCTGGGGTGTTAGATTTAACCACACTGGCCCATCAGATTTGTAACCCAGAACGTATTAACCTTTAACTATCCCGTTGGCCTTGAGGGATGCTATCTAGCTCCTTACTCTGCAAAATGTGGTCCCTGGGCCAGCAGCACCCTCATCGCCTGGGGGCTTGTTGGAAATGCAGGATTGAGGGCTGCGGTAGGACCTGAATGAAAATCTGCATTTTAACAGGACTCCCAAGGAGTTCATATACACCTTGAAATTCCAGTCGCTCTGGTCCAGCCACCCTCTTCCCTCTATTAGAACAAAACAAAACAAAACTTCAGAAAGAAATCTTCCAACTGGCTTCATCAGAAGCCCAATTCCCTTGCTACACGTTTGAAATAAAACTGAACACACGCTAGCAATCAGTTCGCCTCAGAAAGGTCTTTAGCACATCTGTGGTAGACAACCTCGCCCTTGAGGGTGCTCAGCTTGTAACGACAGTCCCACTACCCCAATCAGCCTCCATCCTTGGGCCCTACAGGAAACCAGGACTGAATGTCATCTAAAACACAGTCCCAGCTGTCTTCAGGGGGCCTTGCACGGAGCTTCGGAGTGCTGGAGAGGTGGGAGGCCACGCAGGGATCTTAAGTCCAACCTTTCTATTATGGGGGGCAGGGAGTTCACCACTGCAAATCACTTTGTTAAAAACCAACAGCTCCAATGTACTACACACACACACACACACACACACACACACACCCACACCACCACTACCACCACCACCAACAACAACAGAAACCCTTTTAATGGTCTATATTATGACTGTGTACCCAGCTGGTTTTCACTCATATTTTCTGTCTCTGCCTGCAAGAAATATGGGGCTATAGAGCTGGGAGCGCTTCCACAGAGCAGGCAGAATGACATCTGGATGAACAAACTCCCCTAGCAATCCGATTTCAGGGATGCCCCGCTCTTACAGAAGGGAATTGCCTACATGGGAAATGTTCACTTAACAAATTCTACTGTTTTCAACTAATAGCAGATAATTCGGTGGCTCCCAGTCTGTGGAGGCTGGAGGCTTGGAGAGCCCCCTTTACCTGGCTGTCCCCCCTTGCTTTGTCGGCTCACCCAGACATACTGATTTCAGAGGAGGAGAGCGGGCATCCAGGATGGACCACAGGGATCTGAACCACTATCCTTGACTTCTCGAATTCTCAGGCAACCCATACAACAGGCAAATTAATAATGCAGT